TTATTCTTCGTAAGGACAGTTACTTCTTCTTTTTACATCCTAACTGATAATCTGATATCTAGACAATTATTCTTTGTAGCGTTGGTCAACACATTCTCCTCATAGATCCCCAGTCTTCTGCAATGTAACACCATCGACACCGACAGAGCAAACGTCTGATTTCTTACGAAGAGCTAAAGGATCGAACGTTATAAGACCTACAAATTTTATGGGGTAAAATTGTAGAATGAATATATTGCAAAAAGAATAAAAAACACAGTATCCACATCAATACCTCTGCTGGCTGAATTTTGAAATCGCATTGGGGCGGAAGTGGTGTAGTGACAAGTGGCACGCTTACCACGCGAGCGGTCCGGGGATCAAATCCTGGGTCGTGAGTCGCCCGGGCCAACCAAGCCTTCCATCCCTCCGGGGTCGGTTAATTGGTACCAGACTTGTCTGGGAGGATAAAAACACTGACTTGTACATCGCAAGTCATTGTATAGGCCACATCGCATTCAAACGCCACTACGAATGTACAAATGGAAGTAGAATGCGTGCCGCATCCCAAAAAGGGATTGATCAACGGCAAATGCTTTATCCTTTTTTTTATCCTTATGTTGTCTGTTGTTACCGTAATCTGTGGCCACTCTGTATAGTAAAAAAGGGTACGTTGAGTAAAGGGTGTGGTGGCGGCGGCGTAAGCGTCGTGGGTGGAAGACAACTTCATTCAGTCGGACTATCAAGTATGACGAGTAGGGAGGATGGTTAACTGTGCTTTCGCACTATTCGAATGAGGGAGTCGCATTTGGGGCTGAGCAAGGTTAGCTACCTTTGGTAGAAATGCAAAAGTGGGTCGTACAGAGGTTTTCGACGGCTTCGTTGTCATGATTGTAGCGTGAACTATAAAAAATTGGTAGATTTGCTGCTTCACTTTACCAATCTATCTCACCCCCTTCCACGTTGAGTTGTCGACAAGTCGCCGAGATTCGGAAACAAATAGGTACTATAGAAATAGCTGTGATGCTCAGGGTTGTGATCAGGTAGTGAGCAGGAGAGTATTAAGAGCCCCCTAAGGCTGCGGTTGGGGTTGCAGCGAGACATCAGCGAAGGGGTATGGGTCGCAAAATTTTCGGAGAAGTCTACCGATGATCTGGCAGGAAGCGCTTTGACGCTCTTTAACCAAAAAAGTTGATGCTGTCACATGTCATAAATTGCCTTTGAAAAACCATAGGCTACCCTTTCTTCGGTCATACTTGAAATCCTGAAAAAAATGTCAACTTAATGAGAGTAAAACTGCTCACCAGAAGCGCCAAACGATATGATACGGTGTTTCAAATACGAAATCCGGATAACGCATTTGAGTTTGCGTGATCAAACCTTCGCATTCGGGTAGGTCGTAGAACTGAAATTGTTCCGTTATTGTTATTGTTATTTGTTATTTCTTCGCTCAGTTGCTTTTGCCGTTGATTATACTATCTATTTATCAGAGACGTCCTATGTTGGTGTGTTGGGCACAAGCGTTAAACTTGCGCCTCTGGTGCACACAGATATATGTAGCTTCAGGTTCGAAAACCCGACACAATCCACTTATCATTTGCTAAATGACTTACCTCAAACTCGAAACACATTCGTGCCCTTGCTGATCACTCCGAAAAGAATTGCAAACCAGCTATCAATTTTCGATTACTGAAAGGAAAACATTTGCTAAGGCGTACCATCAAGTTGGAACAATAAGGCACGAAGCACGAAGGTTTATGAGGCTGCCGCAGAGGTTCTACTCCGCTCTAATGCACATACAGTTGAAGGCAAAGTCAACTATAACGTTGGTAGTTTTTAAAAATTATTACGACCCCCCCCACATTCCCAGTGGGTCTCGACGCGATCCCAATCACCACCATCAGCCTCACAAGAGCCCCTTAGTACTTCCTCTCACCGACAAGAGGCCCCCAATACTTCCGCTCACCGCCTCGACCACCACCCTCAACTTCAGTTGGCTGTCTTTAGCGTTCAGATCGTTCTATAGTGTTAGGGTCCTCTAGGACTAAGCCCCGGAGGGTTAGCAGCTTTAGGGATCTAGGGGAATTGATAATGTCTCACGCACCATGAAGTCTCCTCTCCCCCGCCTAAGGCTTAGCCACGTTTCAAAAAAAAGAGGATGTTCAACGCGCTTTTAAATGCACTGCCACCGCAATGTCCCCAAATCTTGCGATAGCGCCCTCCACGACCACACAACCCCCCCCCCACACACACATACACTTTCTCCCTGCAAATTGCCGTCGAGCGGGGTAGACTTGTTCTTATGGAGCGGTCGGTAAGCCATATAAATTTACCTATTTTTGGCCACTTCTGCTTGAAGCGATC